CTGTGGAGCTGGCCTACCATAGAAAACTGCATCTCCCCTCGACGCTTAACGGCAACAGAGGATGAAAAAGTAAATGTAAAACAGTAAAAGGTAAGTAAGCTCTGGGTCTACCCCTGCCTCGTTTGCCCTCAGTTTTGCCAGCGAGAGCTAGATGTTCTAAACTAGACAATTGTCCCCGAAACGGCATTGAACTTTTCCAGAATGTTTTTATCAGGGAGCGGCCTAGGTGAGCTTCTTCAAGTAGGCCTACTGCCTCATTTGATTTCTTTTCCTTCCAAGAAATTCTCAGCACTCTTTAAAGAAACCACAGTTCTATTGCTATAGAGTTATTTTATTATCACTGTCTTTGGTGATTGTTCAGCATTCAGAGCCGCGTAGAACAGTTGACCACACAGCATTTTAATTTTTATCCTCAGGAAATCCAGCTTGGGACAAACCCGTTTTTTTTTCTCTAAGCCCTTCGTATTTATTTAGTGGACGTTGAGACTTTCCTCAGGAAAAATGTCATCGTTAACTCACTTAAGACGTACATTCAGGTTTTCCGGCAACGCTTAGTTACGTAAGTACTTAATTGGTATATAGTGGGTTAACCCCTATGAATTTCATCGAGCGTCAACGAATCAAAGAGTGCTCTCGTGGCCTAGAGGTTAAAGTGTTCGCCTCTCATTCAAAGGTCCCGGGTTCGAATCCGCGTAGCGACCGATAAATTTTCTTCTCTAAAAATTATTTCCTTTCCCCTGCTTTCCTGCTCTCGCAATGTTCTGTCGTCTGCTTTCGTCTCCTCTTTCTCCCCCCCACTCCCTCATCTCCTTTGCCCCCTCCTCTGGGCTCCTGACTGACTCTTTCTGCAGCTTTTCTACTGCTTCTCCTTGGCTCCGTCTTACTGCTGTCTTTCTGCCACACCCCTGATCTTCTGGTAGGAAAGATCTACACCTAGCCTTCTCGGACAAGAGCGATGAATCTCGGAGATCCTGTGTGTAAGTTGCGCACGTTACAGATCCTTTGGTTGTCTAAAATCGATAAGAGTAGGCTTCGGCCGCCACCCGTGCAAAATCACAATTTTCTACCCACTGAAAATGTTTAGTGTGACCCGCGCGCTCATATGACCTTATGCTGTTGCGAGCGCCGTAAAGAACTTACCTTTTTTTTGGTAAGTGTTTTAAAGCGCTCGCAACTGCCATTATTGGTTATAGCCTTAAAGCCTCTTCATTTGTCTTATTTTATTCTTTAAAATTTTTTTTTTTTAACAAAAGAACCATGCATCTGTCTGGAACAGAAGTCGAGATATTTATGATTGAAGGAGGTGGGGGTCACATAGTGTCAGGGTAGAATTAGCGCGGATTCCTCATTGATTCTCAGCCTCACGGAGTATTGCCTAGTACTGATCTTCAATATACCGGAGAATGTTTTTATCGAGTTTCCCGATCTTTCTGCTGGGACGTTGTATCCTTTCCATCTCTCGCTGATGAAGCCCGCCTCCTGAATGATCTACAGTTTGCTGAAGGGAGCGTAAAAATGATATTTACATTTTTTTACAGAAGAAAAAAAAGCCCCTGCTATATTTTAAAAAACACGTAAATTTCAATATCAATTGGAAGATCAAATCCAAAATCACAGACAATCAAACGGACTTTCTGTTTATTAGACGCAAGGAACAAAAAAATAAAACAAAATAAAGACAAAAGAATAAGAACCCCCCCCCCCCACACCACACAAATCAAGTACATGTATTATTATTATTATTATCATCATTATTATTATTATTATTATTATTATTATTATTATTATTATTATTATTATTATTATTATTATTATTATTATTATTGTTATTATTATTATTATGATTATTATTATTATTCATTATTATTATTATTATTATTACTATTAATGAGTATTATTATTATTATTATTATTATTATTATTATAATAATTATTATTATTATTATTATTATTATAGAACGCCAACGGTCGTTATTGGAAGACCCCCGCTGTTAGCTTTCTGCCGCGGATTCCTCATTAATTCTGGGCCTCATGGAGTAATTCCTGGTACTGCTCTTCCGTGTACTGGCACGAGCATTGGTACCCGCCCCTCCCCACAACTCTAGCGCACGAGCAATGATAGTACTTGTATGTGCCCAGGGCCATTTTGGAAATTGCCTGACTGTCGTACGGGAGATCTCTCCCGAAAGTGGAGCAGCCTGGGGATACACACACAGTACACATAAAGGTACAATCTACACGCATATATATTGTTGATAAAATCTACACGCATATACATTGTTGATAAAATCTACACAATTTAACATAAAAGTAAAATCTACACACATATACATTGTTGATAAAATCTACACACATACACATTGTTGATAAAATCTACACCCTCAAACATAAAGGTAAAATCTACTCACACATACATTGTTCATAAAAATCTACAGGCATACACATTTTAAAAATAAAAATCTTCAAACATACATATTGTTTATAAAATCTACAAACATACACATTGTTTATAAAAATCTACACGCTTAAACATAAAGGTAAAATCTGCACACACACATTGATTATAAAAACCTATAGGCATACTCATTTTTTAAATAAAAATCTACACACATAATATACATTGTTAATAAAAATCTGCAGACAGATGTATTGATTATAAAATCTACACACAGATGTATTGATTATAAAATCTACACACAGATGTATTGATTATTAAATCTACACACAGATGTATTGATTATAAAATCTACACACCACACACATAATAATATAATCTGGTGAAAATGGTGAAATGATATGGGAGAGAGAGAGAGAGAGAGAGAGAGAGAGAGAGAGAGAGAGAGAGAGAGAGAGAGAGAGAGAGAGAGAGAGAGAGAGAGAGAGAGAGAGAGAGAGAGAGAGAGAGAGAGAGAGAGAGAGAGAGAGAGAGAGAGAGAGAGAGAGAGAGAGGGAGGATCACTATTGTAACTATGTGAAAATGGTGAAATGGTATACGTTTAACGCCTCCATCACCACTATTAGGTTATTTCAGAGTGGGATATTCGTGTAAAGTGCCTTTCCCAAGGACACAACGTCCGACCAAGCTGAGGCTCGAAACCCCGAACCTGCAATCTCACGGTTACGAGTCCGGTGGCCTAACCATTAGAGCTGGGCGGCAAGGTTCCCGATTATTGAAAGCTAGGAATCGTAGGAATCGACCCCGAACCCAATTACTTACTTTTTAATGATGTGATTTCTTCTAGTGGTTACCTGGTTAGCTCCGAACATCTTCAGGATTTAGGATAACCTTGATTTCGAAATACCCCGAAGCATCAACTTCTATTTTTCAAAAAAAAAATTCTTTAAAAAAAGAGAAGATTTTAATGATAAAAGTAACTGGTAACCGTTGGTTTACGTAAAAAGGAGACGGAATTTTACTTCCGTAGTAGTAGTATTAATCGTGGGAATCGGTTCCGGAATCGACTCTTCGCACAGCTCTACAGTAACCATAGGCTAACGATGCCTAATAAAATCTACATTTTAATGAGATCTACACACTACACACATAAACATAGTTTATGAAATCTACATACTGCACACACGAACGCTGCTTCTAAAATCTACAGACATAAACATTTTTTAAAATAAACCCCATCCCATCCCATCCCCTTCCCTTCCCATCCCATCCCATCCCGCCCAACCCCATCCCATGTTTATCGTAAGCCCGTGGTGAATAAACTCATCCCATCCCACCCAACCCCATCCCATCTCATCCCATCACATCTTTATCGTAAGCCCGTGGTGAATGAACTCACGCCACCCCACGCCACCCCATCCCATTCCATCCCACCCC